CTGTGGGTTCACATTTGGGGTCTCCCCATCAAACACATTACGTAAAGCTGCAGCTTGCTCCCTCCATGTTATCTTTTTTTGCCCCCTATCCCATTTGTATTTTGTAGGCTTGATTAACTGTTTTCAGAGTTCTTCACAAGAAAAATTACTGGATGGGCGTTAAGAATTACAGCTTTGTTTACATGGAGGCAGATTCTTTTATACTGGAAACATTATCATAAGCCAGAGGAGTGGCAAAGTATGATGTTCTCAGTATGAGTAATGAATACATTTTTCACTTGCCATTGTTCAAGTAGGACAACGAAAGCACTGAAATAGCGTTTGAGGAGTAAAAATCTGAACTTGCTGTCTGGAAATCTCTCTTCGCCTCAGAATGGTTGCATTTACAAATTGGGTCCTTGCAGAATGTTTTGCTTTTGGTGACATTTCCGGCTACTTCCCAGTCTTTGCCTTCCAACTGCCGGTCCGACGTACAGGTTTTCTGTACGCTGTGTGTGGTGTCTCTAGCCTGTGAAGACACCTCAGGTATGCCAAAACATTTCTCACAGGACTAGGTGACATGCTTAAGCATCTGAAATTGTGGACAGTTGCCTCTCTAGACAGAGGACTTCATAGCTTTATTCTACAGTAAGCTTGCAATGGCTTGCCTTTTCTTTTTTTCTCCATGTTGTAAGTCAGAAAATGACCATTATTTTTTGTTTCCTTTAACAGCACTCGAAAGGAGTGAATGAGATGAACTGTTTGGGTTATAGTATCTGAAAGGCTAAATTATTCTCTTGGAGAGACGTTCTAAATGAGCCTGACCGAGATCCTGGATCTGTGTGAAGAGGACTAAGGATATAGGATGTCAACTGAGACAGAACTTCAAGTGGCTGTTAAAACCAGCACAAAGAAAGACTCCAAAAAGAAAGGTAGTGACTCATTTCTTGTTATTTGTATGTACTTTGACTTTAATCAGCTCCTGCATCTGCCACCTTTAATGTGTCTGTGATTCTTCTGTTATCTGTGCTCTCAGTGAAAGTAAATTTTGTTAAGCCCAGTGGAAGTCTGGTATGGGAACATGGGATTTGGTGCTCTGATATTAAAAATATATCTTACTGAAATATATTTTAAATACAAGAGAGGATTTATGTATTATAGTTCATTAATACTTATGTTATATGTATATTGCAATTGTTTCACAAATGGAAATATAATTTTAAGAACTACTCGTGGCTAAAGGTAACCTTTTTTGTGTGTTGATAAATGAATTTTATTCTAAAGGCTTTGTTTCTACGTTGTTTTGAACTTAACTCTGCATTTAACCAGAGCTTAAATGCACTTCTTGTTACTGGAGGTTGAGTCTTAGTGACATTTGATGAAGTAACAGAGAACTCAGTAGCAATCTGGAGAAGGATTAATTGTAATCTGGTAAAGGAAATATAAACAAAGAGGAGAAAACCTCAAAATTAAGGAGAAGCTATGAATAAACGCATGGTTGGATAAGTTCTCATTTATATTTACGAGTTTGCATCAGATTGTAGGGCAGTTCTTTGGACTAATAAGCATGAGAAATGGGATGGTATGAATTTGATGTTTGTGAATAGGAGTGCTGAAAGGTTTTTAGTAAGGATCTTAATCCTTAGATTTTGATTAGTATTTTTCTTGCTTATGGTTTTAAGTATTGGTGAACTTGGAGGCCAAGACTTTGAATTGTAGTGGTAATTTATTGTTCTGTGTAGCTGTCTTAATGTTTTCTCAAACCTGTGCAGATAATGAAATTGAGATTGAAAACAGATTTCATATGAATTGCTCAAATAGCAAAGTAAAACAAAAATTAATACTTAATATATTGTTTTAATACTTGAGGCAGCAAGTTTTGGACTTTCATTATGAGCTTTTCAGTTCATCATTCTGTTTGTTTTTGTAGGGGTATGGTTTAGCCATTTACTTCTGAGGATGGTTAGAATTTTTTAAATACGTTTGTGTTGCAAATTTTACTCATCTTAGATATAAATAACTTGTTCAACTTCGGGGCAGCTATGCCTTTTACTGCAGCCATTCTACAAACCAGTAATCAAGGCCTTGTGTTCGCCACAGCTTTTCTATCAGAAATCTTTAGATTAGCGTTTTTCCAAAGAGACACAGCAATTAAAAATTTTTGAGTGTTTGTTTGGGAAGATGTTTTAGGATCCTTATGACTACTCTAGGCCTAAACTCACAAGGAAAAAATGATTAAGATAAAATAGCTGTAGTTTGGACACGGAAAAATAGGGGAACTTTGATGCAAATGAGAATGTGATCTGAGAGCGATGTTCAAGGCAAGAAGGAAAGTGAAGTTGCTTGGTTGTATGATCATTCAGCATTTTTGGCAGGAAATTAAAAATTGTCAGTTCTTTGCAATACAGGTAACATCTTTTTGGTGTGTGTCTCCTATGTTATTGCTTCTGCTTCAGAGTGGAACTTGAAAACAGCAAATTTTAGAAACTTGATGTTTATGTTAATAAAATATTCAGCATCCAGCTTCTAAAATAATTTTCATAAATCATAATAACTGAATGCTTCTCTGCACAAAATCTGATTCTATCCCCCAAATGGAAATTCTGAGAATGACTGCTGAGAAGTATAAAGTGTGTTCTGTGGCAGCGATCAGAGCTCCCTGCAGCACGTACAGATGTCTGAGGAACTGGAAGGGACAGTGCATGGCAGCAGCACGTCTCCAGAATTAATCTTGTTCTGCATTGTGTGTGCAAGTCTGAGCGCATCCGATCACATCCAGCCATCCGAAGCCCTCGCGGTACAGCGGATGCTTTGCACAGACAAGGGGTACGGTTCAGACAGCGCTGCTCTTCAGATCCCACGTAACGAAAGTCAAAAGGAACTCGGTGTGCTCGTTTACTTGTCACTGAATCGTATGTATTTGCGTATATTTCTACAAATGAGCCCTCCTCTGTAGAGTGGGAATGATGGGCGTGTGAAAACAGGGAAAGGTTTTCGTCTTCTTTTTTCCCAAGTTCATTAACCACGGGCAGCGGCAGGTAGCAACTACTAACATGAAGTTCCTAATGTTACTAATCCATTAATTTGATTATGCAATGAAACCGATTATTCCCAAGAAATTAGTCTTTTCTACATAAACAGAAATTTCAGCTCTAGTGTATTTCCCGTGGATCAGGTGTTGGTGTACTTCTGCCAGAGCCATGACCCGTTTCCAGCCGGAGCAGGAAGGGGCCTCCTTGGCTGTATTGTCTCCTGTTCTGGCAGTTCTCCTGCCATCTGCAGTTCACGGTAGCGAGCTGGGAAAGAGGAGTAAGTTCGAGAATAACTTTGTAATGGAACAACTGTCCCACAGATATATCTCATGTTGAAGATCTGGAGTGACAGAAGGGGGATAAGAGCATGGGACACAGTTCTTTCCTGATCTCAGCATAAGTCTTGCGTGTAGTGGCAGCTAAATCTTTAAATTTCTCTATATCTATATAAGGATACAGCAAAGTAGTGTTTTGATTTTGAAGTGTTGCAGTAATGCAAAGCTTAATTCCAAGGGTTCGTAAGGAGTGTGAATATAAAACAAGATGAAATGTTGCATGGTAAATGCAAGCTGCTGCTCTTACTGAAGTAGAATGAGTCAAACGAAAACGGTGGTTGTCGAGATGATGTGACTTGGACACTTGTGGTGTAGTGCCTGTCTTGAGTTAAAGGCACTCTGACATTGTTAACTAAACAATTTAATACCCTGGAGAGGTCAGAGAGAAGGTCCAGGAGGAGTCTCATGATACTCAGTGAGGCGGATACAGAGTCCTGCTACTGGGACGGACCGACTCCCTGCAGCAGGGTAGGATGTGAGTTTGAAGTTCTTTTGTGCTTTCTTACAGTTGCTTTTAGACTCTATTGCATGAATTACTGAATTTTTGGTGACTGGGAGATAGTTTGATTTCTGCTGCAGGTTGGGGCACATGGCATTAATGCTCTGCAAAGGTACAGGTTTTACCAAGCATTTCATTATGTGTTGGGGATATTTATCTCTCTGTGTAGTCATATGCAAAGCATTTCTCTTACAAGAGATATTTAAACCATTTATTATTAGGCACAGTGTTTTAACAGCCAAAAGCTTTGTAGTCATAGTCAAGTCTTCAGACTCTACATTGTCATCAGAGCTGGTCTGTAAGATGGTATTCTGTTCTAAACACTGAAAGATTATTGCTATCGTTAGGACAAGAACTTACAGAAGAAATCCTCTCAGAAGCTGCTATTTAAGTAGAATTGCAGCTGCAAAACTAATGTACAATAGGTAAGTTCAATATTAACAGGATAATATCAAATTGTAATCTTTTGTGTTAACACTGTCATCCTGGATAACCTTAAAAACAGGCTATTAAAAATCAAGCATTAAATTTGCCTTTTATTCAGTCAATATTGATGTGATGGATCCAGAATTCAATGGGCTCTAGAAATGCTACCTGGTCATGCTCCCAGCACAGGCTTGGAGGTTTGACTGACTTGAAGATAGTTATGAATCACAGAGTGGTTTGGGTTGGAAGGGACCTTAAAGACCATCCAGTCCCACCCTGTGCCATGGGCAGGGACACCTTCCACTAGACCAGGTTGCTCCCAGCCTCATCCAGCCTGGCCTTGGACACTTCCAGGGATGGTGCATCCACAGCTTCTCTGGGCAACCTGTCCCAGTGCCTCCCCACCCTCTCCGGGAAGAACCTCCTCCTGATATTTAATCTAAACCTCCCCGCTTTCAATTTAAATCTGTATGAAAACAGAGGTGAGCCAAGCACCTCCCTCCCTCTCTGACTGTTGCTTTTTGCTCCATGTCCTGTGAAGGTGCTCACCACGTGAGGCTTCACCCTGCACCGAACACCCTCCTGTCTACGCTTTACTCCATCCTATGAGCTTACAGCACGAGATGCTGTTAGAGGAGATGGTATCTCTGCCATCACCCACATCCAGCCCTCGTCTTCATCCCACTCTTGACTGTTATCTACCTGTAACTGCTGTAATTACCTTTTTTGAGAATTTGCTCAAGTTTTAAGACATCCCAAAGAGGATGTCTCCCTAAAAGGAAATAATGCCAAATTCCCAGGAGATTTAGAAAGCTTTATTCTAGAACTTCTTTGGTGATATTTTTTTCCTTGTGAGTTTGACAAAAATTATGTGTTCTTTAAGAATCATTTGGAGAATTAATGATTCAAATAATGCTCTTAAAGGCTGATTTTATTTCATTTGTTTATGCCATCTGGGTCGTTGAAAGGTGAATAAACATTATGTGTTTGTACCGTTCAGGATAGGAAATTAGAATTTTTTATTAGCTAGAGTTGTTAGAAACATAAACCACGTTTGTCTTGTAGTACATGGGGGAAAAGCCATTTATAAGTGTGTATGGATTATTGAATCAAATGGAAAGCATTTACTTGAGCCTATCGGAATTAAAATTGATTTAGAAAACTCTTGGGGGGGAAATCCATTGCATTGTGTTTGAATCCACACTGATAACTGCCTTGGAAAATCACTTCTTGAAAAATTAATTTTAATAGGAAAAACGAAAGGGGAGGTCAGTGAAGACGTGAGCCAGGCTGCCAAATATGAGTACGGATCTGCATCTGCTTGGGGGAGGCCAGGAGACTTTTCTAGGGATTTGGTTTCTTCTTCTTGCGCTTAAATTCTCTAATTATTCTATTTGAAGCTTAGAATCTTTTGCAAAATCATCTCTCATTATATCCCCTATATGGAGTCTGTATTAAGACTTTTGAGTCAATTTTCAAAATGACAGGTACTTGTAAAAATGGAAGCAAGATACAAAGAGCTGCTCAGGCATGTTGACAGTCAGCATAATGATCTTTGATGCTAAGGATCCCCATGGGTGCAATTTCCTTATTTAATGGGTTTCCGCTGAAATGTGTGGGAAGCACATGGCGTTTGGAAC